ACAGCAACTTGCTACGATGAACCCTACAGCCGCAGCTCACGTGCAACAGCAGCAGCAGCAGCAGCAGCAGCAGCAACAACAACAACAGCAGCAGCAGCATCAACAGCAGCAGCAGCAACAGCAGCAGCAACAGCAACAGCAGCAACATCGTCGCCAGATGTCAGACATGGCCGCCACGGCGGATGCCAATTTCTTCCCCAAGAGACAAAAGATCTTTACGCATACGAATCAGACACTTGTTAATCCCATGCAGACGAGCCGCATACCCTGAAGACCGCGTTTCCATACTTGTTCACGTTCCTCTTCATCGTATCATGTCTTCCTTATATCGATATTAATATTTGTCATCCCTTTTCAGAAGCCGAATAGCCTCACTTCTTTTACACGAAAAGAACTCTCTTTTATATATATATATATATGTATGTATGTATGTATATGTATATGTATACCATTGAAAACGACCCACCAAACAATTTTAAAAAAGGCTATCGCCCTGTTCGAGAAGCATTTTTATGTATATACACGCATAGACACGCACGCACATACGCACACACGCACGCACACACACACGTATGTATATATATACACGAGGATCTGCTTTGTCATTAATTGGTGTAACATAATCTTTCCCTCCACTTTCCGCCCGTCACGCCTCTCCTTCTCACCCTTCTCCGTGCTCCGCTCTGTATGAAGCAACATTACCACGATGATACGAAGAAATATTTGTGACAATTTCGAGTCGTCGATGACCTACAAAACCGTCCATTACACACCACACACACACCATATATATATATATATCGCATTACTGCTGAAAACCACACCACTCCTGTTTCCTGACTTCAAAAGTCCTTCTTTACCTCGTCTTCCAGGCGATTGCCTACAGGTCTTGAGCCATTTATTTTAATTTTTTATCCTTCTTTGCAGCAGACGACTTTCTTGGCGTTCATGAACGACTAATCATTTTTTTATTTCATTTTCATTTACTCCCATGTGCGGGAATCACAAATTTGACAAGTTAATTTGGATGACTGTACTTATGAGACGTATTTTTATCATTCCCATTATTCTTGACGTGATTACTTACCAATAGTCACGACTTATCGCACTCCAGTTTCTCTTTATTGTTTATGGTATTTGGGCACATTGAATAGGATGGGATTGAATGGGATAATTTCATGTCTGTGTATTCTGTGGAACTGTCCAATTTTTTTTACATTTCATTTTTACCTTTCATATATTCTTCACTCTTAATATTTCCATCACAAAAATTTTTCTTCTCTCCAGAATCATGCAGAATTGTGCTTTTGAAATATCTATAACAGGACATTAAATGATTTATTCAGAGAATGAGAATGAGGAGAAATAACAAAACATTGTAAATCATCATTCTCAACCAGCAATCAGCAAATACATATCAACTCTTGTTTTCTTTATGTTCAGTGAACCTATCAGCAACATCATTAGAAATGAATAGATGATGATCATGTTTCATTTAATGTCTTATACTGTTTCTCTTTTCTTTTCTTCTTCATATTCAACTTTTCTGTGTTTATATCATTTATGACAAATGTTTCCTTACTATCATCTTAACTGAAATGAGATTATTTGGTTTTTAACAAGCTAAAATCTGACACAAAATCTGAACAAATGATTTCATCTCTCTATCTATATACCTATCTACATTGGAACGCAGGTGTATAATTTGTTATTTTTATATTTTCAACTCACTTATGCCTGTTTAAATTTATATATTATGAGATTTCTCTTTTATCGTTATAGCACTTCTGTTTTTCTCTTTCTTTTCTTTTTCTCTTATTTAATGTTTTTGAAAAAAATATCTCATATACTTTCATCTATCTTTTTCCTTCTATTGTACGTGTACATATGTATATATATATATTTCATGTGCAGAATAAAGGTGGTAAGAAACAGAGGGCACACAAATTCATGTGTGAGAAAGCTACATCTCTAGCTCTTGTATACTCTATCAGAGCTTTTGTTTCAACTTAGCTTTCACTTTTTTGTTCTTTAACTCTGAAACTGTGCACTTTTTGAAATTTTTCATCTTATGTCTGCTTTTGCTCTCTTTTCTTTTATAACATTCTCAATTTTGTAAATAGCAAATTTTCAAATTGATTATCTTTTATCATAAGCTTATTACACTTTGAAATTCTTTTCATCTTCTTATTGAAAGATAAATACTTACATGTATCTTTTGATTTGCAAATATATAATAGTATATAAAATTTTAAAGTAATAAATATTATATCTTCTCAACAGTTTTTATTTTTACAAAGAGTTTAATATATTGATAAATATCTATAAATAATATCAATATTTTTAATTGCAAGTTAGTAAAGAGTTAATAAAGTTTATTAATATAAAGATCTCAATTAATATACTGATGAAATATTTACAGAATATAGTAGTTATTGAGAAAAATATTAATCATTAATAAAATTTACTTAAGATATTTTAAATTTCATTTCTGAAAAGTTTATAAACTTTAGCATAAACTTAAGCTTTAAAGTAATAAATAATGCAAAAATATTTTTTATAAAATCTTTTGTTAAAATATTTGCTTAATTTTACTCTGTATATAATAGTAGTTATAAGTTGAAATTTTTTAATATAAAGTATTTATATTAGTAATAACTATATTTTTATCTTTAATATATCTTTTATTTTAAATTTTTTTTATAATTAATTCAATTATATTTTTGAAACTATAACTCTTTATATTTTATAAATTTAATAAATTCTAATTTTATACTTTATATTTTTTGACAGTTTAAAATTGTAATTAAGTTAAAGATTAATAGTATATTAATCAGCAAACTCAATAATCAAGTTATAACAAATGTATATTTGTTTAACAGATAGCATTAAATGAAAATTTTACTTTTGAATTCAAAATTTTATAATAAATTAAAGCTTATATTTAAAAGATTCTCAAACTTTTAAACTTTTTTTTTAAAATTTTTTACTGCTTAATAAAATACTTTACATTAATTAACTTCAAAATATTTATTAATAAAATTATTTATTTATCAGGTTTTTCTTTAAGTTTATTTTCAAGATATCACTATTCATAATCATTATTAAGATGACTTCATTAAAATCATTATTTTTAAATATACTTTGTTATAAGAGTTTGTTAATATTTTTTTCAATTTAAAATTTATTAATTTTATAAAAAAGTTTTTTGCACTAAGATATAAATTTTAAAGCTCTCAACTAAGTTAAATATATAATTATGATTAATAATTATACTTTTTTTCTTTATTTTTACTGTTTCATAAACATTTATATTGACAATAAATAAGTTAAATATTTTTTTTTATTTATATTCAGTTAGTTAGTAGTAACTATTTATAAAATAACTATAGTTTAAACACCTTTTATTTTATGTAAAATTATTGAAAAAGGAATAAATAATTAATTAGAATATTTATATTATCTATAAATTATTTTAATTATATTATTTAAACTATTATAATAGTTTTTTCTCTTTTAACAAAAGATAAAATATTAATCTGTCTATAGTTATTATTTATGTAAAACTAATAAAGAATTTAAAATAAACTTTTAATAAAGTTTATAAAAAAGTATCAAAAAAGTTTTTATTAAATTCTTAATAAAAAATACGTCTAACAAAAAATATAATCAATAGTTTGAAAAAGTAATTTTAGATAATAGTAATTTATAAAAATGATATTATTAAATATAATATATATATTTAAAGCACTTAATAATTTGATAATTATAAAAGTTATAATAGTAACTAATTTACATTAGTTACTACAGTAGAATGAAATCTATTTTCTGATAATTAAATTTTAAAACAACTATTAAATAATATATAATGTGAGAAAATAGAAGCTGTGAGTTCAAATCTTATAATAAATATCTTAAATTTAATAAAACAATATTTTAAAGATATGTCATTGTGATGTTGAGGTTCTTTATACTAGCTCCTTGCTCTCGCACTGCTTATCACATTGCTTACTAAAGCACTTATCTTCATATTGCTTATCAAAGCACTAGAGAATCAGCATCATCTCAAAATTCAGCATTCAGAATCAGCACAGATCAGCACTTCTCAAAAATCAGTTCTTTAGTGTCAGCACTTTCTGAAGAATAGAATCAGCACTTCATGAAGATTCAGATCACTGCATTGCTAATTTCCCATTTCATGAAAGATTAGAGATGAAATCTATTGCTACTCATTCATATATATAAACACTCTGAATTCTCAAAGTTTCTTCAAGAGATTTAATGATTAGCTACTATTCAATTTCACATATATATTTCATTCATTACTATTCTCTTCTCTTCATAGTGCTCACAGCATCTATATATCTACTCTCCTACAATCTTAGTTATAGAGCTTCTCACACTTTCTTTTGATACTTAGTTCATTCATTTTAATATCTTCACAGTCATTTAACTTGATATCAAATGACTTTATTTAATATTTTTATATCATCAGTTAAAGCAGCTACGGACTGATCATATATAAATTATCACTATGTTTAAATTAGAAATCATATTATAATATAAAATTTTTCATTAATATTTATTAATTTTATATACTATGAAGTTTTAAATATAACTTTTTTTTATTATATGAATATATTTTCAATATTAAATTTTTTATACATGATTAAAATTATATATATATATTTATAAATATATTATAATTATTAATTACATATCAATATAAATAATATAAATAATAATAAAGTAATTTAATAATTTATTTATTATTATAAATTTTAATTTATAATATAATAAAATAAAAAATATTAATATTAAAAAATCAATATGTTATATTTATAAAAATAATAATAATAAAATAAAAATTTAAAATTATATTAAATTAAAATATTTTTTAATAATATTAAATAATTATTATATTATATAAATAAAATTTTATATATTTTTAATATATTATATTTTTATTATATTATTTTAAATTTTTTAATTTATTAATTTAATTTTAATAATTTTTTAATAATTATTATTAAAAAATTATTTTATTTTTATAAAGTATTTATTTATAAAAATAAATTATATTTTATAATTATTATTAAATAATAAATATTAATTATATAAATTAAATATATATTATAATTATTTATTATATTAATATATAAATTTATTATTTTTTATTATTTAATAATTTTATATTAAAAACTTTTTATAATTATTTAATATTATAATAAAAAAGATTAAATTATTGATTAAAGATGTATATTTAATAATAATAATAATAATAATAATAATAATATTTAATTTATTTATTATATAGAAATATATTCAATATATAAATATATGAAAAGAACATTTCAGTATCTGCAACATGAACTTGCAACTGAAAGTAACATGAGATGAATTAGATTAAATCTTTATAAACAATGAAAATTCCAGTAATTCTAACAAAAAAGTCACTGAGCATAAGAAGGAAATGAACCAGAAACTCAAAAAATTTGAACAAGGATCTCAATCTTACAACTTCTCAATCTAGTGTCCATGAAGCCCTGATTCTTGAATACATGTGCTAGGTTCAACATGGCAGGCAACAATAGTGGATGAATTGACTGAACCCCTGGGCACAGCAGCTTTTGAGCATTTTCTATAACTTGCTAGGGCTCACGGGCGGAAGTATAGGAAAGGTTTATACCACTGTATGCAGCGTGTTTTGGGTGGATTCGTGGATAGAAAAACAAGCTTCGAGATATCACACGGCAGTGTGATGGGGGTTTTGGACGCACACTGATTAGCCATTGCGCTGGGCGGCCGCCCCTGATGAGGCGTATATAGAAGAGCTAGCTCGCTCTTCCAATAACTACTTAACAACTACAGGAGATTGACTAATATCCTGCAGGTTAATCTTATCTTACCTATATTCACAATGTCACGTACGGCAGAGCGGGCAACGGGCCTCTAGGTGTACGCCCAACACGAACACATGATCTCGAGGTACTAGCTTTAGCCTCCGCAACCACTAGTCTAGAAAGGGAATAGATCCTGGCTCTGTGGTGTGGCTCTGTGTTTCTGCATTGGGACTAGTTACTCCGTACTCCATAAATGTAGGTAATGCCTTCAAGCGAGGAGCGTGTTCGGACAGGAGCCTGTCAACACAAATAAAACAGATAGCATCGTCAAAACTGCTTAGGAGTTGGATGAGTCTGTGGGCTGCAGCTGCACCAATCAAAATGACCGTATCACAGTGTCCTGGCCCACTACCTCTGTCGACAAGAATCTCATATCAGTCAGTACGGAGGGCGATAAACAATTCAGAGCATCAAGGATTGAGCCTCGTCCAATTGATATCAGCCGGAACACGACGAACTAATAGCTCAACACCAGAGGTGAATGGAAACAAACGTCCTTCCTTACAGGACAAAATTGTTCCGATTTTTCTCAAGAGAGCTCTGATCCCAGTTACTACGGGAGTGGTACAATGCATTGTCATTCTGTTCATTGGAGAGAGCAATTCCCATAAAAGACGTATATAGAGAGCCACAGAGCCGTCATCATCACTATCTAACCCCTCTGCAGCACCAACCAGGCAAATGTCAATAAGAAGTCCTGAACACCGATGAAGATATCAATCACTAGACTCTATGATCTCGCATCTATCGCCCTTGCACGGTCTTTTGTCTTTGATTGAAATACCTTATTTTATCAGAGCAATTAATAATAACTGCTTGTGTTTTTATAAAATTATTGAATTTATTATTTCTTTTCATATGATTTTTTATTATTTAATAAATAGAAAATTTAATTATTTTTTAATAATATTTTATTTTAAATTTTATATCTTTATCTAAAAAGTTAAAAAAGTTAAAAAATATTATTTTAATTTAATTTTTAAATATTTAACTATTATATTCTTTAATAATATATATATATATATATATATAACTATATTTAATTTTATATTTTATAATAATATATAATTATTTTTAACTCAATATTAGTTATTAATAATTAGTTTAATAATTTAAATTATAATTAATAATAATATTATTAATAATAAAAATAATTAAAATTAAATTAATATACTTTTAAATAATTAAATATTTAAATAAATTTATTTTAAATATTTACTTTTATAATTATTTTAAAAGTAAAAAATAATTTTATTAATTTTATTAATATTAAAATTTAAAAATTAACTTAAAAAATTAAAAAATTAAATTTTAATAAATAAATAAAACTTTAAAATAAAAAAAATAATTAATATATGAAATATAAGATAAAATTTAATTAAATTTTTTTACAAATTATAATTTTATTAAATTATATTTTAATAATTTATTAAATTTTTATTATTAATTAGAAATAAAATTTTAATTAATTCATATATTATAAAATTAATAATATATAAATTTGTTTTATATTATATATTTATTTAAATATTATTTTATTTTAAGTTAAAATTTTTTAAAATTATATATATTAGTAAATATTATAATTTTTACATTATAATTATAATAATTAATTAAAAATATATTTTTTAATATTAATATTTTTAATATTTTAAACACTATTTTTTTATACTACTATTATTATTTGAATAATAAATATTTATATTATTTGATAATAAGATAATTAATTTTTTTATATAAGATAATTATCCTACAGTATATAATATAATGAGAATAATTACTATATAAGTAATAAAATAATTATCTTTATAATTATTTTTATAAAAAATATTATCATTTTTTAATTAAATAGAATAATATTTAAATATATTTATAATAATAAAAATTAATAAAGATTTTAAAAAGTTAGTTATTTAATTTATTATTTAAAAAATAAATAATAAATATTTTAATATATAGTAAAAAAATTATAAATTTATTTAAAATAAACTAAAATTTAACTATATTATTAATTTAATTAATTAATATAACTTAATATATATAATTATAAAATTTTATCTTAATATTATATAATTTTAAGTAATTTTTTAATAGAGAAAGAATTTATATAATTATAATTTAATAAATAATAATTATAAAATTAAAATTTAATTATTTTATAAATTTAATTAAGAAATATAATTAAGCATATATAATTATAAGATTTTATTTTAAAATAATATAGTATTTAATAATTTCAATAATTTTAATTTAATAAATTAAAATTAAAAATAAAAAATAAATAAATAAATATTAAAAAAATATGATAAATATATAAAATATATAATATTTAATATAATATTTAAATTTAATAAATTATAATATAATTAAATAAATATTATAGTTTTTAACTATATATATTTAAAATAAATAATAATAATAATAATAATAATTTAATTTAAAATTTAAATTATACTTTTACAATATATTTATAAAATAATAATAAAAAAAATTAAAAAAATACTTTACAAATTAATTATATAAATTTATTTTTTAATATTAAATTAAAAATATAGTTTTTAATTAATTATTTAAAAAATAAAAAATATTTAAAAATAAGTTTTAAACTTTAATAAAATTTAATTTAAAAAATATATTATAAAAAAATATTAAATATTTAAATATTATTATATTTTTATATATTTTTTTTATTTTTTATTATTAATTAAATTCTATTTAATTATATAAATATTATAATTAATTATATATATTTTAAATAATAATAATAAATTATTTTAATAAAATATTTTATTATATATATATATTAAAATTTTATTTAATTTTTTTAAAAATACTTTTAAAAAGTTAATATAATTTTATTTAAAAATTTTTTAACTTTATTAATTTATTATTATAGTTTATAAGTATTTAAATATATTTTAAAAATTAAAAACTATGAAATATTAAATTAATTTTTTAAAAACTATTATATAAAGTTAAATATTAAACTTTTAAGTAATTTAAATAAAATAAATTATTATTAATTAATTAATATAAATACTTTAAAAATTTATTTATTTTTAATTTTATTTAATTATTAGATTTAAAACTAAATTTTTATCAATATAAAAAGTAAAAAATATAAAGTTTTATATTATAAAAAAATATCTTATCATATTTTTAATAAAAACAGAAAAGAGTAATTTTTATTTAATCAGACTCAGCATTTATTAAATAAATATTTTCTTTTCACTTTTAATCAATCAGTGTGAAGTTATATAATTATAAGCTTATCTGTAAAGAATAATTATTTAATCAATTGATCAAAGTGAAGTGTGAAATGTCATACAATCATGTTGCTTCACAAATAGAGATAATATCTTCATTTTTCAAAGTGATAGTTGGCAATTTTAATCTTTCCCTTTTCTATAAAGTTTCTTTTATTTTTATTGTGAATTGACAGCATTCTGACGTGTCAAAGCAGGCAGGCTGGTAAATTTGTTTATGTGTTTCAAACTGATAGTTGAAAACTAAATGCTAATACATCTTTATTTATCTCATTACCCTCAAAGCCAGGGTTAGGATTAGAGATAGTTAATAATAAAAGTCTTGAGAAAATATGATAGAGTCACTACTGTCAAGAGCATAAAGAATGTGTGAGATATGAAATATATATTAGTAGTTTTTAATTAATGGGAAGGATGTCATGATTTAGTTGTTAGTTGACTAAGCTTATCTCTCTGTTGCGAACTCTCATCAAGCACCAAACTTGAAAATCACAAAAATATGAAACCTTTGCAAAAGAGTCACAGGCCAGATCAGACCCCAGACAACAACATCACCAACAATGACAAATGCATCAGGGAAACTGAAGTGTGATTGTCTTTGTCAGGATCAAATGCAGTCATTCATTGACTGTTAAACATATATCATTCTCTCAATATCTATCTTGCGCTTGCAATTTTTCTCTGCATTTGTATTATCCATCTTTATTCGCAAAAAGGAGCTTTTGCGATTCACTCCCTAAGGTAGATCGCTGTTGAATGTTCAAGGACGGCGGGTAGCGATGGGTCCGAAGTCCAAAAGTGGCGGTGGGGGCTCTGCCAGACAGCAGAAGTCGCAAGCTGCAGAGGATGAGCGTGAAGAGGCGCTTCAGGCTGTTGTAGGTGACTCGGTTTTCTATGGTTATTATTATGATCATTATTATTTTGCTATAGCATGCGTTTGGTGCTCCAAGGGCAAAAGAGGCGCGCAAACTGCGTATCGCAACTTTGTTTTCGAGCTTTCATAGCTGACTTGTGTTTCTAGGTTTTGGCAGATACGTTTGAAACTCGCTTTGAGCCTTTTGCATTAGAGAAGCCTCGGGTATGCTTTGCTATGTCCATCCCCTTCTCTTGATCCTTGGGGATGTATGTGAAGGGTGGTGGGGAAGATCCCTAACTAGAGGCATAACTAATTGAGGTTTGAATTGCCTGTGTGAGGGTTTCTTTTAGTGTCTCTTACCGCTCGCAAACACCCCGATAATTGAGTACACAATGGAATTCCTGGCCAATGCTGGTGTTGAAGAAGTATTCCTCTACGGTGGTGCACACTCAGATCAGGTGGAGAGTTATATCAAGTAGGTTTAAAAAATAAAAAAGAAGCTCCCTTGTCAACCTCGCTTTAACATACTCTGTACCAGCACTAACTACGTGCTTCAAATTAGTGCTTCGAAATGGAAATCCCCCTGCTCCCCCTTCAAAAGCTTCATCTTCTTGAAATCAACCTCCACCTCCGTTGGCGACGTCATGCGTGATTTAGACAGCAAGCATTTGATCACCCGCGACTTCATCACCGTCAGCGGCGACGTGGTGAGCAATTACCCAATCGAAGAAGCACTTGCGAAACACCGTTCCCGGCGCCTAAAGGATAAAAATGCTATTATGACAATAGTCCTGCGGGAAACGAATATTTCGCACCGGTCGAACCCATCCGTGACTTCTGTTTTCTTCATCGACCCCTCCAAAGACCGGTGCTTGCATTACGAGGAAATGGAAAGCCGGCCACGAAGAGGCTCTCGTTCATCTTCTCACCACTCGCCGTCGAATTTACTCAGTATCGACCCGGATATGCTGAAGGAGTTTGCGGAACTTGATATCCGGAGCGACCTAGTTGATACCTATATTGACATCTGCACGCCGGAAGTTCTGGGCCTATGGTCAGATAGCTTTGATTATCAGACACCCCGAAAACAGTTTCTCTACGGCGTGCTTAAAGACTATGAGCTGAATGGGAAAACTATACACACCCATATTATTAAGAAGCATTATGCCGCTCGAGTTCGCAATCTTAAGACTTATGACTCTGTTACCAAGGATATTGTGTCCAGGTACACATATCCACTCTGCCCGGAGACAAACCTAGTACCGGATCACTCCTACAGCCTGAAACGGGGTAATATTTATCAAGAACAGGGTGTAATGTATGCGAAATCCTGCCTTATTGGAGGGAAATCTGTCATCGGCCAAGGCACTAGTCTTGCGGACCATACAATAGTTGAAAACACTGTTATTGGGCGACGATGCCGAATAGGCAAGAATGTTATTCTCGATGGCGCATATCTCTGGGACGACGTCACTGTTGGAGATGGGACGGAAATACGACACGCTATCATCGCCAATGGAGCTATCGTTGGGGATAAATGTATCATTGAAAATGGCGCATTACTCTCCTACGGAGTGAAAGTAGGAAATGGGATGACAGTCCGTGAGGGTACGAAAGTTACCCGAGCGGAGCGGGAACAGGGACCCATCCCCAGTGATCCTAAGGTTGTTGGGGAGGGTGGGGTAGGATACGAATTCTTCCACGAGCAGGATGAAGATGATGAAAGCGATAATGAGAGCGTTGCGTCTTCCGGATTACGTATGTTTTATTTCCCTCCCCGTTTTCTCTAAAACCCTCGAAGCATTCAAATGCGCTAACTCCCACAATCACAAGTTTACAACATGGCCTCCCTTGCCCTTTCCACCACATCAATATCTACCTTCTCCTCCGAAATATCTGAAGACGGCTACTCCCAGCACTCCAGAACAGGAAGCTTTGGCACTTCCTTCTCCGACGACGACGACCGCGTCCACTTCCACCATGACGCCGTAACGAGCATCTACGACGGTCTCCGCGACGGCTTAAGCGCTGACGTTGTCCAGCTCGAACTCGTCGGCCTACGTATGAGCGCCAATGCCTCAGAGCACCAGGTGCGCCGTGCCGTCGTCACGGCGTTCCTCAAACGGATCTTGCAGCTCATGGAAGCAGATGGGCCGACAGGCCAAGCCCAGTCGGCACTCAGGGCGAGTGAAGCGGTTAAGCAGGTTCTTAGCAAGTATAAGGATATTATCGAGCGGATTGTTTTTGATCGTGATGACCCCGAGGGAAAGAAGCCGGATCAGGTTGATTTGCTATTGTTGATTCAGCAGGAGCTTGTGGATAAGGGGAAGGGGGAGACGGTTTTGTTGTTTATGGCGAAGGAGCTTTATGATTTGGAGGCGGTGGAGGAAGAGGCGTTTGTGCAATGGTGGGCGGATGAGAGGGGTGTGGCCAGTGACGGGTTGAAGAGTGTTAGGAGGCAGACAGAGCCGTTCATTGAGTGGTTGGCTAGTGCGGATAGTGAGGAGGATGAGAGTGATGAGAGTGATGAGTAAGGTGTTAGCTTTTCTCGGCTTGTTATTTTCTTGGTTAGGGGCGGGAGTGGTACATATGTCATAACATACATGACATGTAGACGTGTGAAGAGGCTTATGCTGACATGACGATTCTCATAGTTATGATATGACATTGTGGATGGGGGTAACGGTATCAAAGAAAACCAACAGTTGATAATTGATCAAAGAGAGTGAGATATAAAAAAGCGCAAATCCATCCACCCATCAGATCTCCTTAGTTCCTTTCGCATTGCACCGTACAAAAACATCCTGTACACCGAGATCCATCTTACACCTTCAACTCAACAACAATCAAAGGGAAATTGAGAACTGCGTTCCATACATCCATCACATAGAGTGTAGATCATCCAACTAGTCTGTCCCGTGCACAAAAGCCCATGCAAAAGAATAGACTGACATCCTAGCACTCGATCGAATCCAATTCGCTCCACAACGAATCCCCACCAAACATCCATTCTCCTGCACAAACTACACCTCTAAATGAATATTCGCCATAGACCCAGTAACCCCATCAACAGCCCGATTTATCGCCCCTATTCCCATTCCCAACCCTTTGCCCACGCCCTTTACGGCCACATCACCAACCGCGTTTTTCTTCTCCCCTCCCCCCCTGGGTTTCGGTCGAACCTGCACCAGCGCGCCAACCCTACACTCCCCACACCGGCTCTTCTTCACATCAATACTCCTCGAATGTCTCCCATACTCAAACCCACACTCCACACAACACCACAAATACTTATAGTGAATAACATAGGAATGTTTCGTCGTGATACGGATGCGCACCTTACCATTCCCACCAGCTCCCCAGCCATAAACGGGATGCTCACTCAGCGCTTTCTCGCACTTAGCGGCCCACTGCTTAAAACTGGCTCCGTGTGGATTGTTGCGCACGTTGGAGATGATGAAGTTGGCTAGGTGGCAGTACTCGTGGGCAAGAGTGTTCAGGAGGCGGTCTTCGCTGTCGATAATTTTGGAGGCGAGTTCGATGGTGGCGTGGTGGCGGATGGGGGCGAGAAGGGAGGGGGTGGGAGGGATTTTGTCGGCGTTATTTGAAAATGTAGCGGTGTAAGCGTTAGGTGCTGCTTTGCTGCTGCCACTGGGAGGAGCATTGGGAGCATTGTCTCCGTGTCCGGAAGCTGACAGCCATGAAGCCGTCGCTTGATGCGTGGACTGGGCAGGTAACCTGTCCCGTTTGAGCATTTCACGTTTCCAATTCGCCCTTCCGGCTGTGGTATTGAGTTTCTTGCTCCACACAATCTTCACCCCACCAGCAGCCGCGGCAAGTTTCTGAATTTCACCACCCGTAACACAATCATCGAGTGCTTTGAGAAACTCCTCCGCCATGGTTTCCTTCTTTTGATCGAATTCTTTCTTCTTAGCAGCAAGTAGCCGCTGTGCAGCAGCTGTTGCTGCGACTGAGATTTTCTTCACCGGGGAACCTTTGATAGGACTCTTTGGAGGAGATGAAGCTGGTGAACTTGACCCGCTGCTCCTGCCTGCCATTCCCTGATCACCATCGTAATCTTCGTCATCCGAGAAAGGCTGGTATTTTCGCAAACCTGTGCGAGGTGTCTTCGTTTTTCGTGGGGAGTACTGGTCGTTCCACGAGTTGATGATATCTTGGCTCCAAAAAGCGTCTATGCTGGGTCGATGGGGGGTTGGTGGGATGCGATTTTTGGTTTTGGAAGGAGATTGGAGGCGAGGCTTTGAAGGGCTGGATGGAGGAGTTATGAAGTTCGCTCCACTCTGGACTTTTTCTGGGTCTTTTGGATTGTTGAAGGGCGATCGAGAGTTAGGCGGAGAGCTATACGCATTCATGTATCTAATTAGCTGCTGGTGGTTTCGAGAAAATAGGGGTTTGGGGGGATAAAGTATCTTACGCTTCCATATTGTCTCTAGGAGCTTTGGGATCAATATCCCTGCGCTTCTTCGGTAAGTTTGACTTTGTAGGAGACACTGGAGGGGGCTTCATATCGAAGCTTTTTGGAGCAGATAGAATTCCTGATTCCTCATTAGCATCGCCATCCTCTCCCTTCCTGCTGTTCTCAAACAAAGGGGGTGATGGTTGTGGTTTGTTAGATTCATCCAACACACCCCCATCCCCAGCCACATTTGCATTCACTGTAGCTATACTGCAGTCACAAGCAGTAGTGTTGTAATTGGTGTTATTTCCACCAGCCCCTGTGTCTTTTATTGTTGTGGATGTGGGCCTTGTTCCCCTAAAAAGCTTCCTGGGAGACATGCGGCGTTTGTTGGACACTTCTTCCTCATCCTCTTCATCACTATCCTCCTGACACGAAGACTCCTCAAAGTAACTGATATCCTCATCATCCCCAACAATAAAATCAATCAGGGAGTCAAATTCGTCATCTCTTTCATCCTCGTTTTCTTCTTCCTCATTCCCATCTTCTTCACTCTCCGACCCAACCCTCTCAGCCTCTCTCCACGCATGCTTTCCCCTAACCTCCCCACCCTTTACCCCCGTCACGCCCCTCTCCCCAGTCCCCCGTACATCCCCTTTCCTCACCTCCATCTCTTTCCCCCCCTTCCTCCCAACCCCATGTTTATATTCCTCCCATTCCCCCGGCGACGGCGCATTCTCCACATCCCCCCAGCCCCTCCCAGCCGTCAGCCCATCATACCTATGAGTCGCTGCCGGAAACGGCATGAGAAGCGAATTGGCACGGCTGTGTCCCAATTGTCGTCGTTGACGCATTCTTGGTGTTTGTGTGGGAGCACGGGGGGAGCTGTCATCATCGTCGTCTTTGTCTTCATCTTCATCGCGTTGTGATTTTGAGTTGGAGTTGGCAGTGGCAGTGGCATTAGTATTGGCATTGGCATTGGCATTGGCATTGGTATGCGCCCCAGGAAGGCTCCGCATTGTGCCCAATGGCCTTAATGTCCGTCCGCTGGCTGTACTTGAGCTCGTGGTGGTATTTTTCCGCCTCCTCGTCGCCAGAGTCTTCTGGGTCTTCGTGTGGGTGTCAGCGTCGGAATCTTCCCGGATCTCCAAGACCGTTGGCGGTACGCGATTGAGTCGAGCCATTTCGTGCGTGCTGTGGATGCAAAGTATAAGTACACAAATTGCCTTTTCCAGCAGGTTTTTGTAACCTGGACTGTACTGTACGGATTTCGACAAGTGGAGATGTCTGGAACAAAATAAAGCGACGCTATTTGGTTCGCGAGCTCCTGATGGGTGGATAGATAGATGGTTGATAGATGGTTAGTGCAGAACGTTTTTGCATCTGTGTCGTAGGAATTTGTCTCTGACTTACCAAGAGCTCTCGTGTAATACAAATAAACAAAATCTACCTCCTCCTCTCTTCCCGTTATTCCTCGTCGAATTCTTATATCTTCATCATTGTCTCTCTTCCGTGCTTGTGGCCCATAGAGCGTTGCATGGTTTGAGACGGGGGATATTGTTTGACCCTGGTTGACCGGGTAACTAGTTGACTAACCAACCAACCCACTTAACTTTTATTTAAACCTCCCTCCCACCAGCAAACTCTTTGACGTCACTCGTGCGTAGAGAAGCACTGGTTTAACTATATGCTTAAGTTAACTAATGCTGTTTGTTACTAACTAGTTAGTTACTTTATACACATTTTCATTATATAAGAAACCTGGATGATTCGCATGTGTTCTACAGAGAATAAATATCATATGAATTTCAAGAAACATTCTCCCTTCTACCTGAGTTGTGCGGTGGTTACTTCGTAAACACCTTCAGCCGCTCTATGACCGACTGACATATTTCCAAGGGAATCAAATCAACAGTATCCATGGGAAAAGAAGCTAGGATATATTTGCGAACCATAACCCTTACCTGTGAAATGCCTATGCTATATATATGTCAGTCAATTCAACCATCCCAATTTCCTACCGCATCAGTATGGAGTAGACTCTTTGCTTCTGCCTGCTTTCTCCTATCTCATCCATACACCTCCAACCACAGCGCAACGTAAACGAACCGCAAGAACGATTAAAATAGAGTAAATAATATAGAGTAAAAAGTGAAAGATAACAACAGACCTGCATTACCTATGCAAAAAAAAACTAATTATCCAACTCTGAAAGAGAAAGGAAAAAAAGGAAGAAAAAAGTGAAAGAGAAAAAAAAAAGAGAAGCAACCTAAAAAAGAATAATTATTCTGAAAACAAAGGTTCACCTCAACGCATTCGAGGACACAATCACATCCCCTCCATCTCACCTATATAAATACCTCAACTCCCGAAAATACAAAAACAAGACTAAAACGAAAGAGAAACAGAAACACCATCTCTCTTACAACAACAAAATACTCATCCCAGCAATAACCCCCGCCACAACCCCGGCGCCAACCCTAACCATTCCAAAATCTACCGCTGGCACAGCCCCAACACTGGCAGCCCCCTTCGACGTCCCTGCCGGCCCGCCCGGTCCAGACGTAACAGTCCCTTTCCCATTCGCACCAGCCTGCTTCATTAAATCCCCACAAGTCCCAGTCGCCTGAGTGGGCTTCTGTCTCTGAGCAGCTCCCTTAAAGTCACACGCGCTATCACCGTTCCCAGCCTTTACCTGCTGCTGGTAATAAGAGTCGAAGGCAAAGGAGAGCTTTTCGCGCGGGTTACACATGCTGTAGGCACCATAGACGCCATTTTCGGGTTCGATGGAGATACCGTCGCAGACGCCCTTGCCTAGACCGCAGACTGTGTTGAATTTATCGCCCAGTTCTTCCGTATCGATAGAGTCTTTAGCAATGCATGAGAGAGACTTGACCATGCAGCCACATAGATATTTGTTTGGGGTTGGGGGGAGGGAGCGGTTAGCTTTCCATGAGGAGCCAATGGCAGGGCAGGTTCGGAGTTCAGTGTTTTCAACCTTGTAGTCGTTCATGTTGACGCCTTTGGGGTTGACTTTGGACATTTGGTCCTTAAGATTCTTGAAGTCGGTGCGGCCTTTGGCGGTGTTGCCGCTGATATCGACCAGACCTATTTCTT